TGACAATAGATCCTCCTAAACGTTACACACTGGACCTTTAAGGATCCCAGTTTGGAGGTCTGAAGGTCTTTTCAGTGTGATATTCCTTCCCAAGAAAACACAAAAAATATCTGTGCTGAACTTTGGCAGTATGTTGGTCTGTAGACTGTGATGGATGTTTACAACAGACAGTTGGTTAATAATTTTACAGTTCACCTTTTTTTTCCTTTCAAATAAGTTAACCTGTTTGCAACTTCTTTGTTTGTCTGAGTCCCTGACTTCTTTTTAGTGATGCTGCAGTGTTCTAAGATCTCATTAATTAAGCAATAGATGATAGATTAACCACTGGATGGCAGTTTGTGTTAAAGGTCCAGTGTGTATAATCACCTGAATATAACAACTGTTTTTGTTACCTTAGAATGAGATATTTTTATCTACAGACACTGCAGGTACCCTTCCATGGAGTCTGCCATGTTTCTACAGTACCCTAAACACTGGCTTTTTTTTTGCACATTTTGCGGCCACCATAGTTCCTGTTGGAAAGGGAGGGTGAAACAAGTGAGTTGCAACTTTATCTGCAACTACACTGCTAGATGCCACTAAATCATACTCACTCGTACTACACCAAAAAAGTCAATAATGTAAAGACATTAACTGTAAAGTAGCTACCAGTGTACACACTGACCGCTTGAGAAGTGTGTGTAATGGCTTAGCCTCAGTTTCTGACTGATCACCCAGTCATGGGATAAACGCAAATGTTTCGCTGAAGCTAAAACACTGTCAACTCGAATCTAAACCTTAACTTGTACTGCCCATGGCAAATTCATGTCCACTCTTTGTGTGTTTTTGAATTGATTTTATATGCGGCCAGGTCACCTCAAACACATTCAGCCTGAACACACCTTCGCGAAGGTGGTAGGGTCAAAGAAGATTAAGACTGTTTCTGATGGTAGATAGATTCAGGCTTCACTGTTCCTATGTATTGTTTAACACGTTTTTTTTTGTCCGCGCTCAAAATCAATCTGTCCTGCAGGCTCCTTCCCTTCCACAATCTGTTCCATATTTACCACTGAACAGTATCTGAAAGTGGTCCACTGCTTCTTAAAAATAGCCCTAAAGATGCAAGTTGTTCCAGATACACATACAGCTCTGTGGAGGAAGCTGAGCAAGTGCTCCACCTCTACAGATCAACCAGGTTCTCTGTTGAATATTGTCGCCTACATGCAGCACACAGGAGGGACTGAAATAACCCATTGTGCCCTCTCTGAGTGGTACTAGATTTCTGCAACGTGCCAGAGAAAAAGGATGGGGGCCACTTGTCAGAACTGGGTTTTTCAGCTCCTAAGTGATGAGGAACAGCTCTGCAGCTCACTAATGTACAGTAAATGTGATGGGTGGGTTGAATTGTTGAGTTATGCAAGGCTTTCAGCCCCCTGTAATAGTGCAATACTTTGGCATGTTGCGTAACAGATTTGTCCTCCTCGCTTTTTCAATGTGGGCCCGGACGATACTTCCACTGTCCCTGGTCCATTTCCATCCATGCCCTTTAACTTTACATAGCCGTATTACAGCGATTAATTCACCTCTTCAATAACAGTGAGAGCTTTTTTCAGGTAGTGTAGTGTAGGCTATTTTGCAGCAATGCAAATTTTAATCACTGCTGAATGTGACTACCATCTCTGTGGCCCTCTACTTTATCATGCCGAAGAGAAAGGATCACAGAAATCAAAATATAATCAAAACACTATTAATCAAGTTCCAACCAAATATCCCTTGCCTGAATGGTTTTCACCACTACAGAACACAGAGGCATTCTGTGTCTCTAGCTGCATTTGCTTGCTTGCCTAGTCTAGCATTATAGGAGGAGAAGGAATCTGTTACGTTAAACAGAGGAACCCAAAAGCAGATCACAAACTCGGTTGGTACGATTCCAAAAGACAGGCTTTATTGGAAATCCGGGAAACTAAATGTTGAGGTGTAGCTCCTGCTAGCAGTGGTGAGACGGTATGGCTAGACCCCAGGCAGAGTGGAACTGGAAGATTACGGCAGCGTGGCAGGCAGGAAGCAGCGGGCAGGTAGCTACAGCAAAGGGTATGATCCTGAGACACAGGGAAAAACAAGGTTAAAGTTCATAGCAAAAAACACTTTTAAAAACTCCAACTTGGCCTAGAAGGTTACTACCACGATCTGGCGGAGAGTGATGAGAACGGGTTTTTATAACGCAGGGCTGATGAGTTAATGTTGCAGGTTGAGCCAGTAAAGAAGTGAGCAGGTAAATCAAGGAGAGTGGGAGAGTCCAACACAACAGAGACACAGGGAAACCAAGGAGGAGAATACTGATTATAACAGAATCAAGTCGAGGTGGACCTGAACACAGCAGTTCTGTGGACCACACCCCTACTCAGCCTGTCAACAAGACCTGATGGCAAGATAACCTTTAAAAACTGCTGAATGAGCCATTCAGTGTCTTATTGAGTTTTAAATATTGTTACAAAAGAGCATATTTACTTACCTCAGTCAACACTAACCAGTTTTCATAGGGTTTATTTCTTCTGTAGGATCAAGGATCAAGCGAGGCCTGTGGATTATCCAGACACTGTTTCTGGAAAGAGATGTTTTTTAGTGGTTCGCAAGAAGCATACAATGAATCCCATAAACCCTCCATTGTAAAAAATCTTAAAGACAATATTTACAAATAAAACAAACTATCTGATTGCTCATAATGTGAGAGTTAAGTGAGAAAAATGTGTTGTTTTGGTATTTGGGTAAACTTATATGTTTTTATATTTATACTTTATATTTCAAGAAAAAGTACATTTTCACCTCTATTTTGAATTACTTTTTAAGAGGGATATCTCCTGCCATAAAGCATGCATGTTATCCTCCAGTCCTTGGCTTTATGTGTCTGTTAGAGGTTCATCAGTGTTGCTCCGCCTAACACAGAGTATTACAAGGCCTCAGGGGAGTCAGCCTGGATCAGATGATACTGCTGTGGAGATGAGCAAGGCAACAATAACACTTGTAAATCCCCCTCCTTACATCCTTTGTTTGTGTTCATGGATGGATATATATATATGTGTGTGTGTGTGTGTATGTATATATGTATATATATATACATATAGACATACATATTAGGGCTGTCCTCAACTGAAGATTTTCCTCATTGACTAGTTGTTGAATGTTTATGATATTAATTTAATTATTTAAATAATATCTGTTGATGATATGATAACGGAAAAAGTGGTAATGATTCTGAACGTGTCAGAACAACCAACAAAGAGCTGAACATTAGGTAATTTATTCACACACATTATAATCCAGTATAACATAAAATCATATATGAACTTAACAAAAACAAATACTGGCAGACTTATCGATATGATGGATGATGTATAACGTTACTTACAAATCAACGCACTACAAACTCGCTCCTCTCCTACTTCACGCTTCTCCTGCTCTTGTCTGAGCCCGCTGTGTCTTTATCGTCCCTGGTGTCACAGTCCTGGTTGGAGGCGCTGTGTTCGGCCCTGGCCATGGTCACTGGGAGGCTGCTGAGCCTGGTTTCATTGCCCACTAGCCCCACTCTGGCTCTGGTGCTCATTCTGACGGTGTAAACAAACATCCCTGAACATACTCTGAACTTGCAGTCTGGGTACAGTCTGCTAGTAGGACCACTAACTAGCTAGTGGGAGCAGCTAGTACAGCTAGCACATGCAGCAGTACACTGGTTAGACTTCCTGTGTTACAATGCAACAATCCTCAGATACTTAGTATTCAATAGTCCTGGTGACAAGGCGCAGCTCCTGAAAGGAGTTAATTTTTTTGTTTTTCTGCAACTATCTGAAAAGTGAGTCGACAAAGACTCTAATTGACTAACAGTTTAGTCAGCTATTAGGGGACAGCCCTATATATCAATATATGTGTTGCTTATAATGGCTTTCCTGCACTCCTGAGGGGTTCTACATGCAAACCTGTGCTGAAACATTGAAATATTATACAAAGCAATAAATTTCATTCACAGTGATAAAAGTAATCATTATTTATTTTAATGGATAGAAAATTGAATGGAATGAGGCTTGCAAATGTATGGCTTTTTATTTAATTGGAATGAATATTGTAACATTAAATCAAAGGAAACATGAACACCTATCAACATATGCTGTTTTTTAAAAAAAAAACAAATCCAAGCAACAAACAAATGAAATCTTAAATCTGGCCCATTGCATTTAAATACAGAATGAAAAAATAATCCACAGAATACAGAGCAAAACCAGAATTGTAAACCATGGTGAAGTAATCAGACATGTACAGCACAATGTTCTTGTTCATTCATTTTTGAAAAAAAAAAAGAAAAAAGATAACATGTAATGTTAGTGGTGAAATTAACATATTTTATACAGTATATTTTTTGGTTTCTTTCAGATAACAAATTACTCTATTCACAGAATATACAGCTCAATAAACATTTTGTTTACCAGTTCTTTTTTAAGGGTGTGCTCATGTGTGGGGCCATTATTATAAATTGCATTTTTTAAATTATTATTTCTCAGTGTTTGACTCATTCACAGTACATGCTTCTAGCCTCCAGACACAGCATATCTTCCTGCTGTTTGTCCAGTCAGTCAGGATACTGCAAGCAACCACATAGACAATACAAGAGCAATGCCTTAATCAATTCTAGTCCCATGAGCAGATTTCTTTACAAAAACACCACAAATATCAGGATATTTTCTTCATCCCAATCAGTAAAAGTCTTTTTTATTTTTTTTATTTTGGGTGAATTTTATTTTATTATACAACAGAGCCCACATTTGAATACTGCTGTTAATCACAAAGTAGATGAGAGAAGACTGGGCAGGCCCTTTTAATACTGCATACCCCTTAAACAGTATGAAGGGGTTTCTATACACACCTGTGGACTGAAAAAATCTTTGGTCAACATTAGTAGTATGCAACAACCAGAACAGTACAGACAGATCATATAACACCATACAATAACTTATTGATCAAGCTCACAACACTATAGCTTTTCAACAAAGACTCTTTTTGAAGACCATTGGCCAAATAAATGAAATGACACATGTAGAGGTTACTTTACTACTGCTTTTGATCAACACATTATGCACAGCTTCAAAGGGAAGATGTGGACGTCTGACAACAAAAACACCAGAAAAAAAATCACTCACATGATACAGTTTCATGGCTCAACTCTCACTTGGACAACACATGGAAAGATTCAGTTCATATAAATGAAATATTTTAAGGGTTAAACTGGGCTGTAAAGGGAAACCAATACAAGGAAATCAGTACTGCATTACAACAAAGGCTTGAAACTCACTGAGGTTGCATTCTTAGTGCTGAAGATTAATTTACCGACAGGTGTACATTTCAGTTGTCAATTTTTGCCTTGCACTAAAAGCCATTTGTCACAACAAATTAACTCCTGACTGTTCTTCTCTCTTTTTTTCCCAAAATAGGACAACAGAATGGACTACAGTATGGAATTTAAAAAGTGCTAATTGGTGAGCCTTCTTTAGGTGCCCAAAAAACGAACAGCAACAACAAAAAGACTATTGGAACAGAGGAAATCAGTCATTTTGGCATATGAGTTCAAATCCCTACTCCTGGTCCATCGCAGGACCTGAGCTAACAGCTAGGTTCCTGTGAAGATTCGGGTTCTGGCTGTGCCTGTTTCTGCTTCGCACCGAGGAGAAGGACGTATCGCAGCCAGGGACTTTACATTTGTGAAGCAGTCGCAGATGGACAGTCTTGTAATGGGCTCTGAATGTGCCCTTGTTGCTGTAGACCTTTTGGCAGATGTGGCAAGTTATCGGAGATCCACCTCCACCTCCCTGAAGCCCGCCTTGTCCTCCCCCAGTGCAGCCCAGGGTCCTCTCTCCCCCAAGTGCCAACTCCTCGCCCCCGGGCCTCCCCACGGCGATCCCATCAAAGCTCTCATCACTGTCCTCCATGGGGAGCGCCTCTTCATCCTCTTCAATCCCTTCCCCTTCCTCACTACCGGCTCCGTCAGAGTCCCAGGAGGATCGAGCGCTGCCGCCGCCACGAGGTGGGGCAGAGGAGGAGGTGCTCAGGTCCAGGACTGCCCCATCCTCCCCATTTCCACCACCATTTCCTGCCCCTCCTAATCCTTCCATTTCTCCTAAGGGAGATGCCTCAGCACTGTATGGTGCAGAAGACCTTTTGCTCATAGGGAAGACCAGGCCCATGCGGTTGTGTCCCCGGAAGATGACCGAGGTCTGGCTGGTTTGGTCTCGATGGGGCAGATCTCTGTCCCGCTGGTCTTGGCAGTAGTCCAGGCTAACAGAGTCTCTGTCTCTACAATGGGATGAGGGCGAGTAGAGGGTGTTGGCTGGGCTGAATGAGTCTTTGGTCAGCAGCTTGTGGTGCAGGTTCAAATTTGCACTGTGTCTGCAGATGAAAATAATTAAATTAAATGTATTATAAAGCACATGGTGAATGTTTGCAGACATACTGATATAATGGATTACAATTGCCTCTTCTGAAACAATAAAATGTAGCAGCCCTGGAACAATAACAAAATGTGACTGCCTCTCACCTGTCTCGGCTCCTGCGGGAGGGGAAGGCAGCATTGCAGCCGTCCACTGTGCACATGTGCATCTCCTTCAGGTGGACATTTTGGTAGTGCATCTTGACGCTGTAGGGGTTCTTAAAGGTCTTACTGCAGATCTCACAGTGGTGTGGCAGGTCAGAGTTGGGGTTGAGGTGAGACAAACCTGAGTCACCATAATCGTCTGCACAGCCGTCGGATCCCTCCCTCTCTCGGTCTATGAGCTGGGGAGCATCCCCATTACTCAGCCTGTGCTCACCCTCATCCCATCTAAGCTCTGAAATCTTGTCAGCTGCATGCTCCCTGTCCTCCCTTTCTTCGTTGCCGTTGGCTTCCTGGCAGAGTAAGTTGTTGTCACAGTGATTCTCTGTCAGTCTGTTTTCAAAGAGGGGCGATGCACAGGTGATGACCCCTATTTCAGCTTGCTTTGGCCCATCATCTTTGTCCTCCCTCTCTGACATTTCTCTTCCTAAAGTTTGGTCCAACAGATGCTTGGCGCCCTCCCTTTCCTTCTCTTCGCCAACATAAGCCCCTCTCGCCTCCTTCTCCCCTCCAGCTTGTCTTGTGCACATATACCCCTCTGCTCGACTACCATGACACTCTTCCTTGTCCCTGGCCTGTAAAGGAGCCTCATCTTCAGAGCTGCTGTCCTTATCCATCTGCTCATCTCGCTCCACTGCCTCCTTCTCTATCTTTATTGGCATGCTTGACTTCCGAGACTTTTTCTTTGGTATAGGGTCTGTCATGTAGGGTTCGGGGGCTGGGATGGGTTTAATGGGTACAGAGGAGGACAACAGAGGAAGGGAGGGTAGTGTTCCTGGGGTGTTCGCAAGCTCTGCGGGGGTTACCAGGCTGCGGTAGAAAGGCAGGACTGGTTGTACTGTTTTTAAGTTGGGGAAGAGGATACCACTCTGGCCCATGCTGGAGAAGGAGCTGCTGTGGAGTTTAGAGCCAGTTTCCACATGGCTCACCATGTAGCTGGGCACTGACTTATGGTTTTCTGATGAGCAGACAGGGATGGGGCTTCCATATTCAGACCTCTTCTCTCCTTGAGAGCCTTCATCAGCAGACAAGCTGCCCCGTAGGTCTTTGTCCCTGTTGTTACGGTTCATGGGCATGTGTAGCCGTGGGTTCGGGTTGGCACTATGGCGATTGCGACTGCGCAACGAGCTGAACACCATGTTGCAGCCCTCGATGGTACACTTGTGCTTAATCTTCAGGTGCACTGCATTATAATGAATTTTCAGTGTGCCTTTGTCATAGAATGTCTTCTCACAGGCATTGCAAAATACGCGACCCTTCTTCAGAGAACCTCCTCCACCACCGCCTACAGAGAGCCCTCCACTGCCACTACCATTCCTGTCCAGGGAGCGCAGCTTGCCCTCAGGTGACATCTGTGTTACATCAGAGCTCATAGAGGGCGTGCATGGTGTGGAGGGTCCGTCCGAGTAGTTGTCACTAGTGGAGAAGTCCTCTGCCTCAATTTTTGTGGTGGTGGAGAGGGTGTCCATTGGTTTGTCTCCACTTCGGTCCGGATCAGCAGTAAATGAGCCAGAGCTGGAACCTAGCAGGCTGCTCTCCGTAGGGTGTGAAAGAGAGATGGAGTTGTCCCTCCCTAGACTATCCCGTCCTGGGTCATCTCGTCTCTGACTCTGCTGCTCCATGGATCCATGGCATGGTTGCTGGTGTTGTTGGTGCTGCTGCTGCTGCTGCTGCAGTGTCCCTGTAGGTGAGCCCAGAAACGGTGCAGGAACAGAGCCTAACAACTGGAAGGGCAGCATGAAGGCCATGCTGTTGATAAAGTTCTCAAAGTGGTGCATGCTGTTGCCACTTAGCTTCTCAACTTTGGCTGTAGAGAGATTGGCAGCAGTGCGTGGGGTGTTGCGCTCAATGAAAGTGCGGATATCTGAGTTGGTGCGGGTGCTGGGAACCAATACCGCCTGGCCCTCCTTGTCCTGCAGAGCCATCAGCTCGACTATGGACTTGGTCTCGCCAAAACGCAGGAACTGCTGCAGTGTAGCAATCTCCTCCTCGAACGTCATGATGGCCCACCGGTCCAGCACCTTCCCCGCTACATCCTACAGGGCAGATAGAAAGGGAGAGCAGCATGGTACAGGAAAGGGGAGAGGGCAAGGGTATGAAATAGATTGAGATGGAGAGGCAGAGTGAAAAAAAGAGGAAGAGAGAGAGCAATCATTAGCATTATAAGTGTCGGTTGGGTTGCTCATACATATTCACAGAGTGGGCTAGATGACACACCCTATGAAGCAGACTGGCAGGGCAGCTAAATAAAGGAATCAGATGAAGTGTTAATATAAGCGGGCAGCGCAGAACCCAGAGAACCCTCATTACACAGACACACAGTGTTTCATCTTGCACGTCATTTCTCTTCATTTAAATCATGTGGATTTACTCACTCTGCATCAGCAGACAGAGAACACGCACACACGCATCATACAGGCATACTAGCAGGCAAGTACACTCATATACATACTCCCAAAGGCATGCAAAGATAAATTTGTGCACAAACATACCACACACACACATATATATGGACACACAAGTGAGGGAGGGGTGATCAGAAGGCAGCTCACATTGATCAAGCGGGTCCTCTCTCCCTTAGCCCAGCAGTAATCATATGTGAGTTTGGGCGTCTTTGAAAGTGAGGAGCGGCTTCGTGCCGTAACCGTGATTAATATTTCATCACAGAGCATTCATTGGGCGCCTGTCGAGGATTCTGACTCTACGTTCGTCATTAGATGAGCTAACATGAATTAAACGCAGCCCAACTTGAATACTTGATGATGTACTAATCGAAGTGAGAGCTTGGCTGACATGGTGCCTGCAGCCCAGGCCCTTGGCCCGCTTGGCTCCAGCTTAAGAGGAAATCTGAAGCAAAAGACAATATTTACAAATCTACCCGCACAGTTTGGAGACCTCCCCGAACTGGTTGTACCACAGCAACAAGCAGGCCACATCAGTGGGGTACCGGGAGAGTTCATGGCATTGGTCGCTATATCACATCCCTACTCTGTCCTGTCTGCAGCCATGCTTTCCAGACCCATCTTCTCCCTCCTTCTCTCTCGTGCTCCTCATTAATTCCTTTCACCTCTCCCTTCATATACTCTCGGACTGTGGGTTTTTGGCTTTTATAGGATTTCCTACCCTAAAAGGAATAACACTAAACACTATGTTGCAATTGCTTTGATATTTAAAGGAATAGTTCAACATTTTGTTATATAGTTTGCTGTCCTTCTGAAATACAAATAAGATTGATATTAATCTTATTTTTGTTGTCTTAAGTTAAGTGTTAAGTTAGCTTAGCATAACGACTGGAGGCAGGGGGAGAAACAGCTAGCCTGTCTATGTCCAAAATTGAAAATCTATTCATGAACAGAAATCTATAAACTGAAATTTCTGATGTTATTTCTTGGCTCCCAGCACTTCTTTCAGCATCTCCGGCTGTAGCCAAATACCCAAACGTGACAACCTCACTGTGACAATTAGACTTCAGGATGCTATGTGCTCAGTCATTGCACCCGGGGGTGGTTTCCCAAAAACTAGTTCCAGCAAGTATGGCATTAGAGGTGTTCGTATGTGTCCAGACGAGCTCTTTCCCCCTGCTTCCTGTCTTTATATTAAGCTAGGTTAACCACGCCTTGACTCGAGCTCCGTACTCACAGACTGGACATTAATATCGGTCTGCAAATAAGCATATTTCCCAAAATGTTGAATATTTCTTTAAATCAGCAGCTAGTTTTGTACTTGTTTTCAGAAACCTAATCCTAACATGTAATCCTAGACACACACACACACACACACAAAGAAAAAATGTCTTTCCCCCCACTGCTCACCTGGAGCACGTATCCTCGTATGTAGTCCTGCAGCGTCCAGTCAAGTGCATTGAGGATCTGGATGACCTCCTCCTGCTTTAGGACAGAGAAAAGGCGATCCAGGAGGATCTTGAGGCGGATGGGGATGGCCTGGGTGCCGTACAGCATCAGACTGCAGATATCGAACACCACATTGGAGTGGACAATCTCCACCTGGCTGCTCTGGTACATGTGATGCACCTTCAGTTTACTCAGGGCTAGAATACACACATCAGATTTTATTGGATTAGATTTTAGGAAGCTGGTCCCCTAACCATACAATTTATAAATGTAAGCAACACAGAAAACACAACAGTTGAATAAATATAATATGGGAATAAACCAAAATGTATACATGATATATGGTATTTATACAAAACTAAATGTAAATATTGGAATACTATATGAACAATAAATAATAAATTACATCATTTTAATTTTTTTTAAATACAATACTAATACAATTACTTATTTTGTGTGCTGTTATGCATTATGATGTTAACTTTATTTATGTTCATAAGAATCAGCAGCACACAGTTGTGATGTTCATTCTCACTTTATTTTTAGAGTAATGTGCTCTGATTGCAGGGATGAAAATATGTATATTTTATGTTAAACATACACAATGTCGTCATAAAATTGGTGTATATGCATTTATTAGCCTATTTGAAAAATAAATTAGCTTGGTTTGAATTCTGTAAAAGTGGGTCCCGAGGTGAGGCTAATTGAGAACAACTCTACACCCTAGTATACTTCCAGTCTCAGAGAATAAACTGAGTTTCTGTGACAATAAAACAACTCAAAACAAAAAAGCAAGCAAAAAATGGAAATACAGCCTTAAATCTGCTTCACACCAGCAGTAACAGTACCACAGTGTGACAGTGTTATTCAAATAATCTTCGTTTACAGTAACTAAGTGTGTGTGTGTAGAGTATGATACAGTAAGTAAGCATGGTATCACAAATAATGTGAATAATGTGAAAAAAACATTTCTCTCAAAAATACATTTATAATTTCTTGTGGTATCTATGCATGCAGTCAGGTATTTAGATTTCTGTCTCCAGTACAAAAAGATGGAGGTGAATGAACATTTTTTTGTGTTCTCACTGTACTAGAAGATTACAGAGGTGTGGACTTCTTTAAGTCAAAAAAAGTCTTATTATAATATTATATTATTATAAAAAGACTTATTTTGATAATAACTCCAATGACTTGTGACATGGACCTCAGTCTTTTGACCTGACCAAAGATTATAAAGTATGTTGTAAAAAACATGTGCAGTGAATCACATCTTAATTACTGAGACAGTGGACGTACTGTCAATCATAATGCACGAGCTTAGGAAGCATTTTAGGCCATCAGACTGACGGAGAATGAGATCTCAGATTCTGATGACAGCAACATGCAACGCGTTAAGCCCAGACATGATAAACATTGTAATGGTGTTACAAAAAACCACACCAAGACACAGGATTCATTATTTATGTAAATTTCTGCATTCAGTTTGGCAAAGGGTGTGCATGGAGTTTGATTATTATCTTTCCTTTACAGCACTTAAAGCACTAACTGAGATAAGCAGAAATCAGTCAAAGTTTTTCTAATTAATTTCATTTTGGCACATATTCTGGACTGTTACAATATAGATTTAAAAATAAAAATGATAATCAGTTGCTCTTTGTTGGTCCAGTATTGCCATTGTGCAGATGTTCATTTGATTTCATAATGTATTCCTACGGGATTAAATGAGTAACCCCTAGTGACTAACCACTAAATACAATATTATACAGAAATGGCTGTATCTCAAAAAACTGTAGTTAATGAGTTGTATCAAATATTTGGTAGCATTGGATTTAGAACAACTTCAGTTTCAATAATATGTACTTTGATCTAGTGTACATCTGATATTTATTTATACATATCTATATTTATATTTATTGCATTTTTAAAAGTACTACCAATTAAGACATGATAGATATGTGGAATTTAGTTTCAACAGCAGATTTTGTGTTTCCACCTCGAACAGAAATACATCTGTGGGGCATACTAAATATATTCATTAGTCATTGGACACGCAATGTTTTGGACTTTAGTTGTGACTTTACAGTGAGGACATGAGATGTAATTGCAACATGTAATGACTTGATAAAATAGTCTTTAGTAAAACTGTTGGGGGACATTTTTCTAAAGATAGGTTGCTGATTAATTTTTAAAAGTCCTTTGTCCCTGCTGTGGGCACCACAAATGAAATTCCATTCACCTCCATTGTACAGGCAGCAACCTCAGAGACACACACTCTGAAAAATTGCACAAATGAAACCAAAGCGCTCTGCATGGCCAGATAATATCAGAGGTAAGTGAGAAAGTAAAAACACATAATATGTATGCACATATTATTCTTATTGAAAGGACCCTCAGCTGAATGTCTCTTACCGTGTGCTACCCAGCCATGCTTGCAGTTTTCACACTGCCTCCTCTTCAGCTTCCCAGGCTTGAAGCTGTCACAGTTACAGTTCACCAAAGTGCAGCAGATAGCCTGTTAACACAAAAAGCACAGTTTTATTTTTCATGAGCACACAAGAAAACAAATCTCAATTTTTATAACACGCAGTACTATTATTCCATGTATCTGGAATTGCTAAGCTCTTCAGTACTTGATCACCCCACACTAGAATCAGATTTATTGATTATTGATCTGAAATTGGTTACAGTTACTCAAGACATTATAAGAAATAGAAATAATAACGTTACAATATGTGCATTATATTACAATAAACTTAGAAAATATAAAAACATAAAAAAAGAACGTGTAAACATATGTATATTACACTACAGTATGTAAGAATATATAGAAAATAAAAAATAAGACATGGAAAATATGTATACTACAGTATATAACAGAAGTGTAATAATATTTTTAATTAGTAATAAATACTAATAATGAGTATTTATAATGCTGAGAACTGAATCTTTGACACAGTAAACCAGAGTATTGCATGTTAACCACAGTATTGCAATTTAATGACTAATGACTCAGGAGTTACATTACATTAGTCCGAAACAAGTATACACTTATGGAGCAGCAGATACTTATATGGAGTGAATTATTCAAACCCCCTTTTATGGCTCTACCATATTATAAAATAAAAATACTGTGGATGTATCATTTGGTTCTCATTTTACCAAAATTCAGCCAGACATATTTAGTATTTTACTGTTGAGATCTTGAGCATTATTGTGAGCTGGTGGAGCTAGCAAGTGTAAATACTTGCATTTTTGCACTTGCCCTGACGATGTTGATAATGAGTTTTTATATTTTGCATAATTCCAAAGCTAACACTTTCAAGTGGTCAGATTTATATATGTTCATTAACGCAACATAATAGCAGTGATAGAAAATATGCCCCATCATCCCATCCTTCTCTGATTGTGCAGGCGAGGTGAGTGTGTGTGTGTGTGTGTGTGTGTGTGTGTATGTGGCTCTTATGCTATGCTTATCTAACGTCGCCTACGGAAACCGAAAGAAAGAGCATGATTGCCTCAAGTAATTTTTCTCTCTCCCTCTTGTGCACCACTCAATGCCTAGTTTGCCCTGTGAGGGTGGAGTTTGTGTGTGTGTGTGTGTGTGTCAGTAGTGCTGCAGGGCGGGTTCTTTCTACAGCAACGAAAGGTGTTGGACACACCTGGACCACTAAACCATCTCAATCAATCAGTCTGAGGCACGTGCATACACGCACACGCACACGCACACACACACAGACACACACACACACACACACACACAGAAGACTCATCATGTCCATTAGCTCATCTGCTAATGGGTTTTATTTTTTCAGGACAAACACACAGAAAAGCAGAGTAAGTGGACTGACACAGAGACTCAAAGTGAGGAGTAAATGGCAGTAATGAGTGGAGTTTTGTGGGGAGCTGCTGACTTGGCAGCGATCCTGCTAAGAGGACTCCAGCGCACTGATACACTAAAAATTACTCTGCTTCCCCCCTCTCTTCCTTAGACAAAAAAAAATCATTTACACACCAGGAACTGAGGGAAAAGCATCATCAGATTTATGATCAAAGCCAGTGTTGTTAGTGCTACATGCTGAAAAGCTCAGAGTGGCTGCGCTACGGCACCTCTCTCCCTCTGCATCTATAATGCATGATCAGTGGGGTTTTAGTATACATGAGCGGCATGTTTAGCTCCACTCCCTCTCCACAAGCGGAGAAGGAGGAAAAGTGTGGGTGGGTAGTGGGGCTACCTCCTCCTCCTCATTTAGTCAGTGGTTTTGTTGTGCGCTCAAGGCTGGGCTTGTCCTTGAAACCTGGGACCACATTATTTCACATCACAATAACCTCCCATCGTTAGAACGGATACAGTGACCCGAGATGAAGGTGGCGGCAGCTACCTGGCCTTGAAGCGCAGCGGGGTAGCTCCAGCCTTCAGTCCCGTGACATATGTTTGCTTTTCTCTCTTTTCTCTACCGCCCTCTCTGTTGGGTTTTATCTCAGCCTCCTCCGGACAGTGGCGAGGTGTAAAAACCCCTTTGCTCATCTCTCAGCGAAATAATCCCATCATTACAGAGCACCGAGAACCAACACAGCCCAATTAGGCTAATCCCATCCAACTGTGGGTGCACACACACCTCCTGCTGCGGCTCCCCCTAATATACATCTCAATCAGGTGCCCCTGCGCGCTCACCAGCCTGTAACACACGCATTCCAATGCACAGTCAGCTACAGGTCCTTTATCTTAATTAGCAATTCATTTCATGAGGTCCTGTAAAGAAGAAGAAAAGGAAATATGGCAGTGCAGGACGATACAACAGTGGCTCTTGGTGACCAAGATCCCCCTAACCCACCCTCCCACCATCTCTTTCTCTTTACTGTTGTCACAGCAAAACCACGGCTGTTCGCACGCATCAATGAAGTCGATGACAAGAAGACTAATTGCACAAAATGATGCAGCTGGATCAGTGTTTTTGAAGCCAAAGCTAACAATGTCGCTTTCTGTATATCAATGATGTATAACAACGTAGTCAACCAAAATCTTTTTTTTTTTTTAAAGAAAGGGCCACAGATCAGATTCAAACCCTGGGCTTAGGACTCAGCCTTGGTACATGGGGAGCCACCAGGACACTGTGAGTGTATTGTGTTTATTAACTATATTTATTACGTTTATTCTTCAACTTGGAAATAGTAATGTGACAAAAAAAACTGAACTCACGGTCCAATTACTAGCTTCTTACAGAGCTTTTGAACAGGTAGTCATGACAACTAAACTAACTGATGAAGACTATGAGATGCGTTTGAAAGCCATGCAGTAAGCTAGTAAGTGCATTTAAGTTGAAGGTCCAGGGTGTAGGATTCAGTGGTATCTAGCAGTGAAGTTGCAGACTGCTATCTAGACCCTATGTCCAGTGTTTAGTTTGTCTATTCAGGGCTACTGTAGAAACATGTTTGGTTCAAAATGGCGGATTCTGCCAGAAGAGGACCCGCTCCCTCTGTAGATAAAAACAGCTCATTCTAAGGTTACAAAAACTATTTTTAATTTCAGCTGATTATATTATTATTATTACTAATATTATATTATTATACACTAATGAAAACATACCTATGACCTATTCCATTAATGACAATATACCCTAAATGTTACACACTGGACCTTTAAAGGGTTAGGAAAGAATAGAATTCTGAATAGTGAAGGGCAATCAAATCCTAAAATATATCTGAACATCAGAATAAAAATACATCTTGTACAGTAAGTGGCTCTTTCTGCTCCTGATACCACAAACCCACAGCCTTGGCCTCTCTGAATCTCTCAATGTTTAGTTACTCCCTGTGCATGAATTTGTATGGCATATTCAATCATCTTGTGTATGTCTTGATTCTGCCACCAGTCCTCAGTGTCCATTTGTTGCAGTTAAAAGCATCTTGGTTGAAAGACTGCACACTCAGAAGCCGAGCTGTGTAGGACGGACGGATGAAGGCTGTGAGTGGAGGTTAAAGAGGGAGATGGTGAGGTTGAGAAAAGAGAAAAGGGACAGGTGAGGAGTAGAGAAGGCAGTGGCATACTGACCAAATTCTGGTTGTTAGCATACACCCTGAGGTACCTGCATGTGCACACACACGATAAAAGCACAAGACACAATAATGCTTTTGGGTAAAAGTTAACTTGTAAGCTTAAATCAGTGTTTCTTCTTGTTTCCTACAGTTTCTTGTTTAATGCTTTGTTTCAGTTGTTTTTTTTTCCATGATTTTACATATAAATATGTTTTTTCACCATTCATCTTTGGGCTAAAACATATAGACTGAAAGAGTTCTTCGGTACATCACATGGTGAAACTAGGAATAATGTTTCATATACGAGTCGATTTAATATATTTCAGTGTTGCTGCGAGTCGGAGCAATGTGATTGCAAAGCAACTGACTCATCCAGCTACTGCATTTTTTGTGACTATCTAATAACCTAATTGTATATAAGACATTCAATACACTGGTATGTCTATTTTCACTTTCGCTGGTTCAATCTCTGGTATACAGGTTTGATAAAACTTTTTTTTTGGAAGCACCAGGTGCACATTACCACGCTTTAATTTGTCAAACAAATGTAGAAAAAATCTGTAATACAGATATGTATACAGTCTATTGTAATATTATCTATTTCAAGACAGAATCATCAACATCTCCTGTATATCCACAATCACACGTATAAAATAAACAACATTTTTCCATTTATTTGACATGAACTATGTTATATCATTATAAGCAACATACTTCACCCTAGTCTGTCTGTTCAGTGACTGGTCACAAATCTACGACGCAAACAAAAGACGGAGAACTAAGTAAAGTTACAAACCAGCCCGTCACCTTAATTAGATGTTCGTTGTAGGGTGGTCTGCCAATGAAATGAGAAGTTTTATTAAAAGCATTATAATCTTGTGAAAAGTATAAAATATTTTTTTTGTTGAAAAACAGGACACACATTTACTTCCAAGCAATTTGTCTTTTGATACAGAGTGTTACTTCCTTGTTGGGA